CCCCCGAGCTGGAGCATGGAGGGAGGAGAGAGGGAGTAAAGGGTGGTTTGGCGGGAAAAATAGACCCTTCCCTTACTAGTCTGGTAGGAGCTGCCTCTGCTGGAAGCTCATGTCGCTTCTAATAACTTTACTTTTAATGCTTATTAAGATGGCATGATAGACCTGTCTTTGCCTGTTACCTCGCTGTGTGCCTCCATCCCTTGGAGGTCAGCTCTATTTGGCTGACTTGCACCAATCTGAGCCACCCTGTTTCCAGTGCTGTGTGGGTCCTCTGCTTTCCTGGTTTTGGGGGACTGGCATGCTTCAAGGGGGTGAGCTCACCTCCCACCCTTGCTCCTTTGCACACTTTGCATGAGTGTTAAAACCTTCCTGGTTTGTGTGCTCTTGCAGGAGCTCGGTGGAAGTGAACTGTATGGAAATCCCCTCTCTCAGGCCTGGTGGTTTACAGAGCTTTGCATCCTTGCACTGGAAAGGCCCCATTGGATTCTGTGCTCTTTGGTTCATGATGCAGGACAGCATGAGAACCAGGGTGGTGGCTTTGTGAGAATGATCTCTTAATAACCAGGCTCCGAGAAGTGACATCTGCCCATAACAGCACAGGTCTGGGAAAGATGTTTTGTGTAATACTGCTTGGGAGGTGAGCCATACAACTGTCCACTAGTACAGAACCCCTGACAAAAGCCCCAAGAGCCACTTGCATTTATCTGTCCCTGCAGGCTACAAAGAGTTAACAGGTCTGCACCTCTGCTCCCTCTTCTGCCACCTCCCAGGCTGGCCCAGCTCCACATGCTTTTGTCTGGGAAAGGTTGACTCTCACCTTGCTAGTTTACTCCTAGACTTGTGTACACAGGGCTGGGGAGAGAGGCACAGGAGTGAATGCTGGGTCTCCATGCCAAAGTGATAAACTTGATAAAGAGCTCCCTGCGCTTTGGCTGCCCAAGTCTCTGCAGGTCTGACTCCCTTTGTAGCTTGCTGGCTGTGACCCTTCAAAGAAGCTTTTAATGAACTCTGGTGTGTTTGATCAGAGACAAGGGCCAGCCGTAAAAGCTAGGTCCGTGTCTGGAAAACTTTGTCTCTGCCCCAAAACATAATTTTTTGTTGTTGTTGTTGTTTTTAAAGAGTTTGCAAAGGCTGTGGTGAGGATGTGTGGGCTGGGGCAGGCAAGCTATTATTTCCCAGAGCTAGCCAGCGGCTGGGGGAATGCACACATTGGACAGAAACTTTGCTTGCTGCCTCAATAAATAGAGGTTCTTGCTCTGAGAGGAGGCTAATGGTATGCTGGGGCTGTAAGTGAAGGCCCCAGGAGCATGAAATGGAGTGGGGTGGGCTAGGGATAGAGTACAGCAGGGCTGCAAGCCCATGCCTGGAGTGTGATTCCTGTGCCTGAACTTAGCAGTGTCTGACTTCATCCCGTAGTGCAGCCTGTCTCAGGCTCAAACATGAGACCTCTGTGCCTGGCTTTTCCAGGAATGACGCTCATAGTTCACGTGCCTGACGTGCTCATTGTTTGGCAGGGAATAAACTCTTATTTTTTGGCCACTGGCAGGCAGGAAAAGCTTCTGCTCCCCAGCATGTTGGTTAATCCCCCTTTGTGCTTACTGGGGATAAAACCGCTTAACATGAGGAAGAAATCCTGGAACTAGGCTCCTGCAGAAAAGGTTGATTTCTCTACAGACCCCCTCCTAAGAGAGGAGCATATTAATGGTAGGGCTTGAGTTTGGCTGCCAGGGCGAGGTGGGGCTGTGCAGCTGCCCAGTCTGACTCTCCCAGCAAGTCCCTGGCCCAGTTCCAGTGCTGGGATAACAGGTGGTGGAAAGCAGACTCTGGGCAGCACCGGTGCCTTTCTCCAACTGACAGTTGCAGAAGATGTTAAGCTGAATGTGGCCAGAGACAACTTGGCAAGGGCTGCCCATTGTCCTGCAGTTGTCTCCTAGCTTTTTCCTCTTGGCTGCTGGCTGCCAGCTGAGGGGAAACATGGGCACCTTCCGTGGTGCCTCTTCACCTGGTAGCAGAGCTGTAGGGAGGAGTGAATCCTTTTGGAAAGGGATGCAGTATTTAATTCTCCAGGGAGCTATTTATGTGGCACTTGGGAAGTTGGCAGCCCTTGCTTTTAAGTCTCTGAAAGTGTCTGTGTGCTCTCTCACAGTTGCCTATGCGAGGAATGTGCCTGCTCCAGACCTGCCCTTCAAGCACAGCACTCCAGTGTTAATTCTTCCCAGCCTGCCCATGCCCCAGCTCCCAGGAGGAGCCTGCTCTCTAGGAGAGCATGTCTTGAAACCTGGAGGGTATAGAGGTGCCCAGCAGCCCTCTAACTCCCCTGACAGATGAATCTGTAAAATGAGGCTCACTGCCCACAAGAAGAGTTTCCCATATGGTTTGAGAAGCTCTTGTGGCTTCCAGGAACTTCCCCGTCCTTACTCAAGAGGATGATGAAGAAGGAGTTCAGGGAATGTGCCCATATAATCTTAATTATGTTTGTGAGTCAGTAATTTCCGTGTTATGTCCTCTGGCTTGTAAACACTGTCTGTCCTGATTTAAATAGGGTTTTCTGATGGCCAAACCTGGTGCATTCCACCGTGTCTACTAATCACCGTGGCTGTGTGCTACTGCTTTGCTCATGGCTGGGCTGATCTGGTGAGGCCAGCCTGCTGTCCAGATACTCTGGCCTCAATGCGTTTTTTCTTGAGCCACAGTCGTTAGGATATCAGCTGGCTGTGATTCATCATGAAGTATGGCATGAGCTGGCACAGGGGTGTGGCTCACAGGAGTGCTCTTGCCAACATTGATCTACCCTGGCACGGCAGCTGGGTTATACGGATCTGCAGCAAATGTGCTTCCCAGCCCTGGTGCCCTAGCTTGAGCAGACGGGAATCGGGCTCTTCCTGCCCCTTGATGAAATGGTCAGAAGCTCTCATGAGAACAGCTACTGCGTGCTGGCAGCAGTTTCTGTCGCAGGTTCTGGCTTTGGGTGGGTTTTGCATATCTTGAAATGAATTTGCCTTGGAGCGAGTGATCCATAACATTAGGAACGCCTGGTTCGAGGCCGGGAGGAGATTTCTTCCCAGCTGGTCTTCGTCCCCAGCCCCCTTCCTATCAGCTAATGCCAGGCTCAGGCAGAGTGGAGGCAGCGGGTCTGGGAGGAGAGCTGGCCTCAGCACTTCATGCCCTCTGGGCTGTTCATTTGGTTATCCTCCAGCAGAGGTGATGAGAAAACCAAAGATGCTTCAATAAGCTAATGAAAAGCACATCTAGTAGCCACTGCTCCTTATGCAAAATGAGAATCATCTTGTCCTGACCACAAGGCCCTGTTTGTGGCAAATCCAGTATGCTAATGGGCAGGGAAATCTAGGCTGGAAGCAGGGCTGGGGCTGTGGATAGAGGAAGCTGACACATGGCTTGTGGCTGATTGTTGGCCTTTGCTTGTGAGATCAATAGCGGATATGATTTGTCAGTTGGTGTCACCTCTGGACTGTGGGATGGGTCACACTTGGCTGGGTGAGCAGGAGGGCGGATCCCAGCTGCTCAGGATCTCGCTGCTGCCCTAGTGAAGCAGCAAGCACTGGGGCTTGGGTGGTGCCACCCAGCTCTAACTGTCCCTGTGAGTCTCTGATCTTCACCCCCGGTGAGCCTGTAGCTCATGGTAAACCTGTACCATGCCCTCAGATGTGCAGGACTGTGGAACACACTAAAAATGCACTTCTGGGTAGTTAAAACTTCAGGACTTGAGCCCAAGTCCTAGGAGACACCCAGGGAACATGTTCCCAGTCTTTCTGTGGGGACAGCATGAAAAAATGTTGACAGTTTAGCCCCCACCTATGGGACCCATCAGTCTGCATTGTGCTTCTTGCTGTGGGGGAAGGGGTCGAGTCCCCCACCATGGCGATGACTTCATGGCTGTGGAAGCGTCTGGAGCTGCTGGAATCTGTGGGCTGGTGTTGAGCAACGGGAGAGCTCATACCTGTGGTACCCTCACTGGGGCTTGCCCCAGGGCTGTGGGGTGAGGACAAATAGTTCTGGGGAAATTGCATAACCTTGGTGAGGATAGGACGTTTGAGTTTGTGGCTCCTTGAAGGTCCAAGCGCAAATGAGTTCTGGGGTGTAAATTGCTGTTCTGGCTAAACAGCTGATTCTCTGGGAGGCTGGCCTGCCACTTTGCTAATGTGGGTCTGTAACTGCAGTCATTGGGCCATGGGACTGGGACTTCATTTTACAGACTTGTTTGTTTACATGTGTTTTAAGAGGTGAGGCAGGGAAAGCTCTTCCTTCAGGCAAGTCATTATTTGATACTAAATTCTCTTGAACATCACACTATATTGCACTGCAATTCAGCTGAACTGACAGACCGGTTTTTAACCCTTGGGTGATAAAATAGGTTTGTTTTCAATATAAGAAGCAACAAATTGCCTGGGCGTGAGACTTCGGTGCTATGCAAAAAAACTGACCTGTAGGTGCCAGGCTTTTTCTCTGGGAATAGCAAGTCCTCCCAAATCCCCCCTTACCACAAACTTGAAGGTACTGCTTTTCCAAATGCTTTTGCTATAAACTCCTGACCAAGATCTTGTCTTATTTTCACCCTGTGGGTTCAAATGAACCTCCTGAATCTGTAGCCCTCAGGAAATTCCCCTCCCAGGCTGGCTTTCACTTCTGTTCCGAGAAATTCTAGGGGAATTCAGCTATTTCTAGGATGATAAAGATAATGCGTTTGGTGGAGAGGAAGTTCAGCATTTAATGTTCTTCTGATGGAAGTGATGTGCTCAGCACAGGCTCTGAACTCCTGACCTTGTGCAAAATGCTTCTGAGGAGTTGCCTGATACTTAACACTTTTCCACCCCTGTTTACAGGTGAGAGAAACTGAGACCATAGATGCCCAATGGCTTGGCTACCCTGCCTCTGGAGACTTGCCAGATGATGAAGACATTGGTGAATTCAGGCCTCACTTAACTTCTGATGGGTTAGATATAGATGAGTCATCTGGATCTGGAGGTAAGCAGGGAAGGGGGTAAATGGATCTGCCTCAGTTGATCCTGTGAAATTTCTTCCAGCACCAGCCCATGAGTGATGGGCTAAGTGGACAGCCAGAGCTCCAGAGGGAACTACAGTGTCAGGTGGAGATGAGAAAGCTGTGTGAATCATAGACACTCACAGATGAGAACAGTGAAAGTGGTTGTACCATGATGTTGAATCACTCAGGGAGGACAGATGGAGTCCAGCCAAGCTTGTCTTACTGCAAATGAAAAGGCATTGCACTAGCTGGATCCCTTTCCTGTTGAACTCCAAAGAACTTCCAATAAACTTTAAAAAATAAAAATAATAATTAAAAGAAAATATCTGTTGTTGAGGCAGTGTTAAAAGGCTTAAAGTTAGTATCTCAGCTGAGGCCAAACAAAGTAAAGGACTAACTGGTGTTCAAGTGAACTCTGTGTGACATGCAAAGTTCCCTGCCCAAACGAGTTTCTGTAGCTCGATGTCCCCTTTATGTGCACATTTGTTCTCTAAAAAGGAAAGAACAAGTGCTGAAATAAGTGCCTGACGTGTTTGGGCAGATCTGGTAACTAGAGGGTGGCGAACTATCCTTTAGGGATGGGTGGTGTGAGCATTGCCCTCCACTGGCATTAGCTTAGCAAGCTATAGCAGACCGGCTTTGCAGGGCAGCTCCTGATACTTTGCAGCAGGGGCCAGTGGATCCAGCTGAAGACCCCTCCCATGTGAGAGGTGTTTGTTTTAAGATTACCGTCTCATGGTCTTGTGCGATCAAAGCCATTAAATGGCAAAAGTACTAACAGATAAGAGGGAATTGTAGTCAGCAGAGAACAAGAGTCTTAATTTGTCTGCAGTTGCTGGTATTGTGGGAAGTGTCCAAATTCTTTAAAAATGGCATGTAATGAGAGGAAGGCTTAGTGTCATCATCTCTTTTTTTTTTTACCCCCCTGCAGACTACTCAGACTCTGAAGATGCCATATATCTGACCACCATGGATACTCCTGTGGTAAGTATTGCCTCTGGATGTTTTAAGTAACATGTAGCTACTCTGGTCTGTCTGTGAAGCTTTCTGAATACCCTTCCCCCTGCAAGATGTGGCATCAAGATGAATCTACCCGCATGAGCAGGAACAGTGTACTTGTAATGCACTAAGCAAACTTTCTTTTCTCTGTACACCCAGGTAGGCTGCGTGCTGCTTACTCATGGGTGTGGTTTGTCTATATTCTGTAGATATCTGACAACTATATCCCTGGAGATACTGAGAGAAAGATAGAAGGTGAGAAGAAAAACACAATGGTGGACAATGAAATAATTCCAGACAAAGCCGTACCTGTTGAAGAGAACCTGTCCAACAAGATCTCCATGGCAAGCACAGCCAACAGCAGCATCTTTGAAAGAACAGAAGTCCTTACAGGTAATACTCCACCTTGTCCTGATAAATCATTAATACTGTGAATCAAAATGGCTTCTATTG